TGTATTGAAACAGCACCCTGTACCCCATAAATATGTACAATTATTATGTATCAAAAATTAGAAAAAGGACATGATGGCAACATCAGTCATACAAAACCCACCAGTTCGTAATAATACTAAATAATAACTCATTGGTCATCACTGGAAGTTCTTTTTTTTTCTTTTTGAGACAGGGTCTCACTCTGTTGCTCAGGCTGGTTCAATCTTAGCTCATTCCAGCCTCAAACTCCTGGGCTCAAATGATCCTCCTGTCTCAGCCTCCCGAGTAGCTGGGACTATAGGCATGAGTCACGCCTGGCTAATTTTTTGTTTTTTGTAGAGACAGGGGTCTTGCTTTGTAACCCAGGCTGGTCTCAAATTTTTAGTCACAAGCAATCGTCCCACCTCAACCTCCCAAAGTCCTGGAATTATAGGCATGAGCCACTGCACCTGGCCATTGCTTGAAGTTGGTAGGGCAACAATTCTCCACTCAGTAAATAAAGGGAAAGATTGTATCATTTATTGCTATCCTGTCTGCATCATCTGTGTTAGGACAACCAAAGGGTTGATGAGGGAAAAATCCTTCCTTTTAGATAAATTCTAGGTTATAAGTGCAGAGAAATTAAGAGAATTAGAAAATCACCAGTTTGTGATCCCTGATGAAATAATGGATCTGCAAAAATTTATAGTAGATGCTTAAATTCACTAGCAGAAAGGTTGATGGGGACTTTATAACAGATGGGCCATGTTGACAATTGAGCATGAGCATTTAACTGTGGAAATCCCACTAAAATGACAATGAGATCCCTCGGTAGTAGTGGGAAAGCCAAGGAGCAGTCCATGCCCCTTGTGCCCAACAGTCACTTCAAGAGACAGTAGGCAGAGGGGACGGGTATTTGTATACACAAGGAGTGCAATGCGTACTACCCGAAGGATGGACATATTTGAAACACGGACTTGGGGGGGGGGAACCAAGGGCAACACACGTAACCTAAACATCTGTACCCCATAATATGCTGAAATAAAAAAATAAAAAAATAAAAAAAAAAAAAACAGCAATACCTCACACAGAGGATTGTTGTAAGAATTAAGCAAAAAAAAAAAAAAGAGAGACAGTAGGCACCTCTGCACGTGAGTTTGATGATAGCGCTGAAGCAGGAGACAGCTGAAAATTACTGTGTGAATTGATCATATCCGAGATCTCTGCTCCTGAAGCAGGTGACTGTCCCTTTCCCATGCCAGCAGAAGATTAGTATTTGACTCCCTGCAGGGTAAAAGAAAGCATACCTGGCTGGGAGTCATGAGGCACAGCTGGAGAGGTGTGCCCTGCTGCACTCAAGGGGAATAAGAGAATACTGAGGTACCCCTCCAACGTACCTGGCCCTCCACAGAGCTCCAAGAGCGCTCACTGCCAGGCCTTCCTCCCACACAGGAAATTCCTCCACAGGAAAATGACCAGACCTAAAGCACAAGCATGAGGGTGCCTGAGGATGGCACAGCGAGACCACCTGGTGGTGAAGCCCACTGCTGCTGTGCTCCCCCTCGCTATGCACTGTGTACATATTTTCTCTCTAGAAATGCCATTCAGAGCTTAGCCAAGTAATACACTGTGGTGACTTTTCCTCGTTGGATAACTTTGCAAGTGGCATTAGGTATCACAAATAGATTCCTTTCCTTTATTTTAGCAGCATGAGAGTGCATACAGGTGTGGTATAATTCAACTTAATAAGATACCTAAACCGTAAATGCTCTACCAAACATTTAGGCAAATTAGACAATTTGCATGATATCAGCTGGAGCCCTTAGAGAGATTTTTTATCTATAGATTGAAAATGATTTGATTATTTAAATAATTTTTTTTCATGTTGTAGATTAACTTTACTATGTTATATTTAAAAATAATTCTGGTCACTTTTCTGCCCTCCTGCTTCTTAAAGAATGATGCTTAGACACAGAAAATTCCTGTGGCAGCAGTTTACCAATGAATATCCCTGTGCCCGAGACCTATGAAGTCTGTGCCTCGATATTTATTATTTATGGTCACCAGCCTTCCTGGTGCACTTGGCTTCACTCTGCAGCCATTTACTTCTTCTTGGTCCTCTTTCTGCTGTTTCTTTCAGAGCAGCTATCTGATAATGGTCATAATAGCTATAATCATTTCAATTGAGTCAGTGCTTATTTCTATCAGTCACTATTTTTTAATGCATTATCTCATTTATCCTTAGTAATTCCTTATGTAGATACTACTCTTACTGCAGGAAAACAAGACTGAAAGGTTGAAGAACTTTCCCTAAAGTGGTAGCATGACAGGGAAAGACCAACACATTTGTTGGAGTCTGGGGCTAACCTCACTGCTCTGGTCTTGTCCCTGGTGATCCCTCTGCTGCTGTTCTCTTCCACACGTCTTTCCCTTTAGCAATAACTTTGGTGTTTTACAGAGAAAATAGATGCCCGAAGGAGTGAACTCCCTAATCCCCAATTCCTCACTTTTCTTTTTTTTTGGAGACAGGGTTTCACTCTGTTGCCTAGGCTGGAGTGCAGTGGCCTTATCATAGCTCACTGTAGCCTTGAACTCCTGGGCTCAAGCCATCCTCCCACCTCAGCCTCCCAAGAAGCTGAGACTATAGGTTTGCACCATCACACCCAGCTAATTTTTCTATTTTTTGTAGAGATGGGGTCTTGTTCTTGCTCAGGTTGGTCTCAAACTCCTGGCCTCAAGTGATCCTCCTGCCTTGGTCTGCCAGAGTGCTAGGATTCTAATCTTTCCTTGGTCTCAAGTGTTTCATTTGCAAAATGGGGACAGTAATGCCCACGTTCCTGAGCTGCTGCGTGCTGGGTGCTCTTGAGCTCTTTTGTGCTATGGACAATACCGAGTCTGTGAGCACGTGTCCAGAGCAGCCACGGACAAGAAGCAAACATTATCACCTGCATCCTCTTTTCCTCCCTCTTTATGAAAGGGATGTAGGCTGGGTAGAGAAAAACAGTTGTATCTCAGAGAGCCCTGTATTTGCATCAAAAATATTGATTTGTAGTTATTTGCCTAAATATCTGTTCTATAGATAAATTACTAATACAAATTTCTCAGGGACAGGTCCTGGCATTTTGCTTGATACCTAGTAATTGCTCAAAGAATATTGTTAAGTTATAAAATACACCGATTCTGCAGTCCTGCCTAGTTTCTTAGAATTTGGTAAGGGTTTATTTTCTTGGAAAATGGAAATCTAGAGGATGGTAACTTCATTTCATTTTCATCCACAGGCCCTTAAGTGGAGCAGTTGCTAGTGGTTTCCACATAAGATGAATAGAGCTTCTCTTTGTTCTTGTCTCTTGTGCTCACTGCCCCTTTACTTATGTCAGAAGATTGGACTATCATGAATTGCTCAAAATAAAATAAAAGCCACTCACTGTTGCTTAACCAACATTTATTTTGTTTTTACTTTCTCTTCAGAAAAGAAAGACGTGACTCAAAGCCTAGAGAACTATACCTCCAAGTGTCCTGGGACCATGGAGCTCATCACCCTGCCAGGCGGCCTCACCCTGCCCCCAGTTCCCTTTACCAAGCTGCCCATCGTCAGGTGAGCGGGAAAGGCATGCTTCATCCCAGATGTTTTCCTCCGCTCTGATCACGAGTAGAGATCTCAGAAGAGCTTCTATTTTTCGTTGGCTGTGTATCTGGTTCATTATCTCATTAAACTCGACAAAAGTGCTGTGAAGTATAAGTATTGTAGAAATGAGAGAGTCGCAGCCAGTGACATTCTGTAACTGCTGCAGTCCCACGCCTGTTAAATGGCAGAGCCACATGCAAACCCAGGTCTGCCTGGTTCCGAGGCTCGAGTCATGACTCTGTGTGGTGGTGGGAACTGACCTGACCATATTACTCTTCTCCTTACAAGCTTTCTGTTTTTTCCCTTTTCTTTACCGTACACCCCAACAGCACAGGAGTGGGCAGCTCCTTGTACACATGGCACTTTCCAGCTTTGGCGACTTTGCTCATGGCCTGCATCTGCCTGGCAGTCGTTTTCCTCTCCTTGACTTTATCCTGTCTAATGCCCATTCCTATACACTCATTGCAAGCCCAGTTTCTAGGAAGCCTTTCCTGTTCCTGCCTCCATGAGAAGCGAGCCCCCTGGGTTTCCGTGGCACGCACCCATGGTGTTTGCCACTGTGTGCAGTCCTGGAATTACCTTTCTATGTGACTCTCTCTTCTAACAGATTGTAAGATTTTAGGGTGGAGACCCTTTGGCACATGCAAAATGGGGACCTAAGAAAGATTTATAAACTAATCTCATGATTTCTGAATTTCTGAAAGATTTGTTTGAATGCTAAAATGAAAGAGTTGAAATTTGATGTTTTGCTGTTGAGTACAAGTGCTGTAACCTTAGGATTTGATGTGATGAAGATGCATCTTTAAAACTCTCTTGGCTTGGCTGTGGTTTCCCAGGTTCCACTTGGCCTTGCGGTGCAGTGAGCTTTGGCTCACAGGCTGAATGTGTTACATGAACGGGTCACTTACTGGGGATCAGTTTACTTACTTCCTTCCACCCCCTGCCAGATTTAGAATGAAAACCCATGGCATTAAGTTATTATGAGAATTCAATGAAGCAACATTTGCAAGCATGTGGTATAGTGCTTAATAAATGTTAGTTTTCTTTCTCTCTGCATTTCTTAGTACTGCCAAATGAAGTGTTTTTGTTGCCAAAGTGAGAATTGTGGGGGCAGAAAGTGGTGCTGTCCACCAAAGTCCCCTGCAAGTCACACTTGAATTTTAAGAAGATGTTCTGAAGGGAACTCGTGAGGTCATTCATCAGACAGAGGTGCAAGGTTCAGCATCCAAAAGGCTAGGCCATGGCCTGAGACACCATTCTGGCTGCTTCTTGGAATGTCTCAGAAGAGACTTGCAGCTCCATGGTGTGGGGGCCCAGAGGAAGGGTGTAGTCATGCTGTTGTGTGTGCTGCCTCCTTATCACTGGTGCAAACTGGAGAAGACAGGGCTCTCTTTGAGTTTTTCTATAAGTAAGACTTAAAGTGGAATGTATTTGATTGGGGATTAAAGGCATAATTCGTTTTTTAAAAATTAAAGACTAGAAAAGCCTTTCTTAATAATTTTTTATCTGCATCATGACTTAGATCATTGTTAAATTTAGAAAACCTTGCATAATAGGACATTCTGAACCTCACAGAACATTCTGGGCTTTTGATACTGTATCCAGATCTCTAAGTACTCAGGCCTCTTGTTCGTGAAGCTGGGGAAAATTGGTCCTTGCAGGTCCTGGGAACCAAGGAAGAAAAGTGCTTGTTTTCCTCACAAGACAGCAGAAGAGAAACAGGCTGTTTCAGTGAGGCAGTCTTGGAATAGAAGTTAGAGTCCTTGAGTTTATCCTTCTCTAGCATGTGACCTTGGGTAAGGATGTAGCATCTTTAAGCTTCATTTGCCTCATCTCTAAAGTGGGTATAAAATTGTTCCCTCACAAGGTTGTTTGGTTTTGTTTTAGCTGAGCTGTTACATACAAAAGCATGGAGCACAGTGCCTGGCTCATGGTAAGCACACAGTAAATACTAGTTTTCATCTTGGAGACGTTTTTACATGTTTTTCAGACAGTACATTGATTGAAAAATACTATAATATTAACATTTTCATCCCTTAGCTGTCTAAAAACATTGAACAGATTGGATAAAAGTATGACAGTGTAACATTTAGGCAACTGCTCTTTCATAGATCTGCTGTGCACATCCTGTTTTTCGGGGTGGCCGTGTGTCCTTTCACTGTGACAGTCAGGGTCTTTGTGGCTCGTATTGCACAGCCCCCCTGTGAACAGCTCTCTGCGTCCTGCTTGGCGTCCTGGTGCCGCTGCTCTTGCCAGCCTGCTCATGGACTACTTTTTAAAATCTGATTTTGTATACTACCCACCATCTGTATAGATACGTTTTTTATGGTTTTCCGGAGACTTTTAGCTAGAGAAATAAGCCCTGTTTGCCCTGGTGACTCATTCATTGCGTCATTCATACCTGGTGTCATTAAAAACTGGAAAGAACTACTGCATGAGATTCAGTGCAGGAAACAGCTCACAGGAACATTATCACTGTTGGCAAAATGGGAGGGAATTTCCCTGCAAGATTTGGAGTATCTCAGAGTATCTCACAGCCGGCTTTGTTCCCTATCAGTTACAGAACAAAATCCAGTTTGCTTGCTTTGCATGGCTTACAAGGCCCTCTGTGGCCTGCTCTGTCTCCAGACTTTCTACTGTGAGCCCCTTGTTCCCCTGGTCCCACTACCCTTCTTTCCCTGTGGAAATACTTAGAGTAGGTAAAATGTGTTACTCCTTTTTTCAGGCTTTATCTTCTGCTTGAAATGCCTTTTTTCCCTTACTCTTCCTGACAGTACTTAGTCATCTTTCAGGATTTAGTTCAAGGATTATATTCTCCATAAGGCCTTTTCCTAAGCCACCTAGGTAGAAATGACTGTGCTTTCTATATGAGTTAGGAATTATTTGAGCTGTAAAGCACAGAATGCCTAATAATGGATAGCCAATGGAAGGTTATTTTCCTTATTTATTGAGAAGCTGGAAACAGGTGGCCTCTCTGCAACTCTTTCTTTACCTCATGATTACCAGATAGCTGCTGCAGCTCCAGGGCAAGAAAGGAGAAGGGGTGTGTCCAGGGATGAAATTGTGGCACATAGAGCTGAAAAGTCCAGGCAGGAATTCAGGTGGGGCTGGAGTCCAAGTTCAAATAACCTTGTCGGAACTTGGTTTCTTGCCTTCTTTTAGCTCTGTCTTCTGCAGTTGTTGGCTTTAATTTCAGGCCCTAGGTGGTATCAGAGTGCCAGTAGTAGCTCCAGACCTTACATCCTCTTCCTATAGTGTCCAGGAAAAGAGAGAAGGTGCCTTTTGGCAACACCTGTGAGGGAAAGATGAAACTTTTTTCTTTAAGAGAAAGAATGTCTCCTTGCTTTCCACTGCCTCTCATGGGGTTGTGGACTCAAATCTGAGTCAGTCTCCCCAAACCACATGGCTGAGAGGAGGGCATGTGTAGTTTTCCTAAAGCAAAACCTAGGAATTGTTGAGCACAGGAGAAGGGGGAAGTGGATGTCAGGAGGCATCCAATAAGAACATTACAATGAATGATGCCCAATTCCACCTACTCTATTGTGTTGCCCCAGACAAAAAGTCCAGTTTTGGTTTGTGAACTATAATGCTTATGAGTCAAGATAATACATTGATTAATAGCTGTCCTTCCCAAGTCAGAAAGCATTACTTTGGCAAAGCACCACCTTGAAGTGAGTACATACTTTATTTTACGAACTGCGTTTTGTCTTTCTTGCGTTTGTGACACTTCCTGACTCAGAGGCCTGATTATATGCTGTTCTGAGTAATAAATAGGTCTGTGTTTTTATTTGAAATTAATTTTCATATACAGATAAGTTTGCTTACTTTAATGTGCTTGCCAGATTTGACATTTGTGCTTTTCTCCTAAGTTTTTGTCATTTAAAAGTATGAAGAATTAGGATAAATGTGATATCCTTGCTCCATAATTCTTCAAGTTCTAGCATTTTTCTTTTCCTTGTCAAAACAAGATCTTTTTTCTCCAAAGACATTCCGTGGGTAATACTTCTAGAACAGACTATATGCTATTTTCTCGTCTAAAATTCTGTCATGATTACATGTGAAGGATACTACTGTACAAGAATTTCTTTAGGTTTCAGAAAGGAAGAATAATAACTAAAATTTATTGACATGTCTTATTTATTCAGGGCATTAATAAACTCTCCTCTTGTAAAATTGGGGAAACCATAGGATTCTGTTCAGTAGTCTTTTATTCAAATCCTATATTCTGCAATTTATTGTGTGACTCTGAATGAGGTATTTAACTTCCTCTTCTTGAACTGGGGTTGGTGATACATACCTCCCATGCATGGATCAGATGAAATGTTTGGAAAGTGCTTTGTAAGCACTCTGCAGATATAAGTTCTTACAGAGGCTTAAGGGAGTTTTGCCTCTAATTAGAAGTTACTTTACTCGTCCCTGTCAGTTATTACTTTTGTTTGTACATGCTAAATTAAATCAATTGAATTAAGTTCCAACAGGCTCTCAAGAAATGCTGATATATAACTATTTAGTTATTTATTAAAATTCATGTAACCAAAGCCAAAAAAGTCTCAGAGCTGAAAATCTGAAGAATGGGGTTATGTTGGCCCAAACATCTTTTTGCTCCCATATTAGCAGGCCATTGTCTTACTTCTCAGGAAACTGAAGATTTTCTTCACACTTCTCAGTTTTGGGGCTGGTGAGCTCTGGTGTGGGAATGGAGCTTCCCTGGGAGTTTGCCCTCCTGGCTGTAGACATGATGTTGGTTTTTAAAATAAAAGTGATGATACCAAACTATGGTCAGAAGCTACTGTATTTTGCTTGGTCTTTCTGTGGCAAAGATTTTATCTTTTGGAAAGCAAAGAATTGGTTTTTCTTTACTTCACAAAACCTAAGTGCCAGGACTGGTTCTAGTTACCCAGCTGGGGAGACAGAAGGTATATCTCTTGCCTTTATGATGCTGTTAGCCTAGTGGGGTCTTAAAACTGTGT